GCCGGAAGATATATGCTTGAAGTAAAGATGGAATTAGGATGCTCATGTTTATAAAAAAGATGATAGGGAAAGTGGTATTCATGAAATTTAACATTTCTAGTGACTTTGATCTTATGAGAATTGAGATCAAGAATCTTATAACCCTTCTAACTAGTGGAATATCCAAGAAAAACACAGGGTTCAGCTCTATTATCCATCTTACTTCTGTGAATCCTAGAAGTAGTGGAATAACACAAACAACCAAAGGCTCTAGGGTGAGAGAGATCAGGAACAAAACCATTAAGTCTCAAGAAAGGTGAGTCATCATTGATAACACACAAAACACAGTCACCCCAAAATCTGTCAGGTACTCTAGACTGTATATACAAAGCTCTAGCTAGCTGTTTCCAAAATATGCTTATGCTTTCTCTCAACCACACCATTCTGTTGTGGTGTGTCACTACAGCTAGTCTGGTGAAAAACACCATGTTCTCGAAGTAACTTCTTCAAATCTCCTTCAATTAAGTCTTGAGCATTATTAGATCTAAAGACTTTGATTTGGACACCAAATTGAGTTGAAATCAAAGCAAAGAAATAAGACATTATAGAAATAGATTTGGTCTTATTCTTTAAAAGATGAACCCAAGTGAATCTTGAGAAATCATCCACAGTAATAAAAAATCGATTACAATTAGAAGGTGTTTTTACAGAATGTGGACCCTAAACATCAATATGAATCATATCAAAAGGAGCCTTAGAATTTATTGAACAAACAGGACATGGTAGCCTAATCTGCTTTGCTCTAGGACAGACTTGACAAATTCTACTTTCTAAGCAACTGTGTACATCACAATCTAGTCTAACAATCTTAAGTTGACCAAAACACAAATTACTTAGTCTTGATTGCCATAATTTTGCTTCTTCAACTCATGCCTCATTATGCTTATTTTCCAAAACAAAAGCTTTACTATGATAAATAACCTACTTCTGGAAGCTATACATTCCATGCTTAATATTACCAAGATGAATTGTTTGACCTTTCTGTTTAGGGTAAAAATACCCTAGACACATGGACTAATCGCAGAGGACACGTGTCAAGCCTGGAAAGGTCTACCTAGGCCACTTACCAACTAAAACGTGTCAGCCTCAGATATTTTCTAAAATTGCAGCCTTCAAGGACCAATTCCCTAGAACGCCGCAAAATGGCGCAACCTACCAACTCTAAGTCAAAATGACCTAAGAGAAGGCACAATTCCCAATGACCCTATAAATAGGGAGATATCCCACATTTTAGGGACACATTCAATTATTTATTACACATACCCTACATCCTCTCACATCAGAGAAAACACCTATCTCGGAATCCTAGAAGATCCCACTTTACTATCTGCACCTCCTTCACATTCTCAACGTGTTCTAACTTGATTGTCGGAAGAGGAGCTCCAACCACCCGGAGTCTCCGTTGTTTTGCAAGTACAGGTGCAGTCGGACTATTCTTTGGTCGTAACTCTCCCGAGGGAAAAAAAATACCTAAAACATTTGGCGCCGTCAATGGGGAGAGTACCTAAAGATGGTTCAAGAGTCTGTACCACAGTCAGACCCCAACTGTCCTGCGGTTGATGGAGAAGTCGTCACAGACCAAGAAGACGACCACGATATAGACATCAAAACTTATGTGGCCCCTGCTAGGTCATTCATTGCTAAGCAGATCCGTTCCAAAGACAAGCTGGAACGAGTAAACAATAAAGCTAGTATCAGCAGGTCTACTAGATAAGCGCCTGGTACTACTGGGGAAACCGGAGGTTAAGCTTCAGTCACTAGAGACGAGCTCATGAAATTCATGATAAGTTTCAAGGGTGAAATCAAGGACCTGATTGAAAAGAAAACGGCTAGCTCTAGCAAGAGTCAGTCGGCCAAAAAATCTCCTCGAGTTGCGAGGAAGAAGTCAGCCAGGGACAGGAAGCCTACTCCACATCCTAAAGAGAAGACTACGCCTGCCCTTGACTGTACAAAGATCCTTCTGCCCTGGAAAGGCACAAGGAAGATCATCCATACTGTTCAACCGGATGGAGGCAAGAAAACTTTCACCGATGCTCGACATGTTATCCAGAAAAATCGGAATCAGCAACTCTCTGAGTGAGCCTCTACCTCAAGTGTAGACACCCATTTGTGTCTCCCCAAAAACAAACCTAGTGATGAATACCTTTCATGTGATTTGATTATCGAACAAAGAAAAAGTGTGAAAATTCTAGTGATGAGAATGTTTTTATTAAATTATCTCTTCTTTCTGTTTTTGAAAATATTTCTTTTCTTACCCTATTTATGAAAAACGTGCATTTCAGTTTAGTTTGGTCCATGATATGCATCCAATAATAGTGTAGTTGGATGGGGCTTGAAAAAACCTTTCCAACGATATATTATAAGCCCAATTCCTATGAATAATGAGGAAGTTATGGCCATAATACTAAACTGGGCCCGGTTTGGTTCTTACATAGGACCGAATGATCTAGAGGAGGGCCTATTATTAATTATCATTCCTAAAGCTATTAGGATTGATTATAGTCCTCTAGAATACTCTAGAAGGTTCTCTTAAATCCTAATGGAGTTAGGATTGATAATTATGTTTCAAAGAGTTTGAAATTGAATAAAACTACTCCTTTTGAGAATCCTTGTTTTGTACGAGATGGAATATATTTAGATTTTATTTTTTTGCCTAATAATCTTCTTCAAAATCTTATATGGTTGGATAGATATTGAAATTATCTTTCCAATGATATACTATAATATTAATTCCGAGTTATAACGAAAAAATATGAATGGAATATGAAACTCTATCCAAAACTGACACCCTTCCACTATTTCGGCCATATCTTTTTATCTAAAACATATTTTAATCATAATATAATTGGGTTGGAAAGTAGACTTTAAGAGCTTTCCAACGACATATTATATGCCTTATTTTGACTTCTGGATCAATAGATATGATAAAAACAAAATCCGCAAAAACTGTCTTGCAGCGCCGGATGACAAGCTTGTCGCGCGATGGCAAGCCCTGCCGCGCGGTGACAAGGGCAGTTGCGGCAAAAGCGGCGTGTTTTATTCCTCTTCAAACTCTTATTTTTTTTTTTATCAAATCCGGTCTGTTTTTATTATAAATAGCGTCATTAGACCTCCGTTTTTAATCATCAATTCTCTATCGAATTCTAATCAACTCTCAACCAGAATTCTCTAATTCTTCTCTCTTTAAGCTAAAGATTATTCTTTCTCTCTTTCTAAACCAACTTTTCACAAACAAAATTCCGCATTCACAAGATCTAGACACACCTAGCCAAATTCGAAGTTGTGTTCGCCCTAGACGTGAAAGGTTTGATATTTCTGAGGGTTTGGTCCCAAATTCCTATTTCAATTATTTAATTTAATTGTTTAATTTTTTATTTTCCTTGAAGTTACTAACGTGTGTATTTTGTTATTAGAAAAAGGTACGAGACATCCAAGTAAGTGCTTTAATTGTTTTATTGATATTTTGATATAGAAATCATGCTTAGATTGTTATTTTGATTCCTAGTATCATATTAGGATGTTGTTATTGCTTCCTAGTATCATGTTTAGGGTAAAGAATATAATGTCAATTATGATTTATATGATGCCTCTTATTTTCTTTCTTAATATCATGTTAGGGGTAAAGATTTGATTTTTATATGTTTAGTGACATGCTAGGGTTTGTTATTAATCTTGTTAGTATATGCCTAGGATCTTGCTATTATTATGCTTTAACATGATTATTTTTATAATTATTATATTAATAAATTATTATTATTATTATTATTATTATTATTATTCTTATTGTTATTATATTAATAAATTATTATTATTATTATTATTATTATTATTATTGTTATTATTATTATTATTATTATTATTATTATTATTATTATTATTATTATTATTATTATTATTATTATGGTGATTATTATTATGTTTCTTGATGCTATTTATTGTTATTGCTTGATCACGCCTTTTATGCATGTTTAAAGGGAATTGGTACTTGTAATCACTCTTAATAAAATAATTAATAATCTTGTTTAGGGTTAATTTGATTATAATTCATGTGATCAGCAACAATAGTTATGTTTTTGCATTAATATTCAACCAACATAGAAAAATAGATTTAGGGTAAACCTATTTATTGCATGGTAGTCAGAAAGCGCACATGAATACGAGAAGAATAAAGTAGAGGCCTATTATTAATGCAGGTTCTTTCTCTTTTAGATTGGATTTGTACTTGCATCCTCGAACTTCTTGTCTTGGTTCCAGACCTATTGGAGTTAACGATCTCCTGGATCGTTAAGGGTGTAACCTTCACCCTGTGAACGGTTTACAAGTTGCTAAAACTTGTTAGCGACTCTTTTGCTCTAGCTTCTTTCCCTTTGGACGCCACCATGCTTAAGTGTATGATCACAGTGGGGTTCAGGTTCCTAAAACATGTTGGCGACTTTTTTTTCTCTAGCTTATTTCCCTTTGGACGCCACCATGCTTAAGTGTATGATCATACTGTTCAGCCGGATGGCAGCAAGAAAACTTTCACCGATGCTCGACATGTTATAAAGCAAAATCGGAATCATCAAATCTCTAAATGAGCCTCTACCTCAAGCTTTCCAGACAGCTTCAAATATACATCTGTAAGGAATACTCAATCCTTGTATGAGATTCATACAGGCGGCAAGTCCGTCTCTCTAGCCCTTAGATCATTGGGAATACCTCGTACGTATCCCCTATGATCTACGGTCCGTATTCCCTTCATTTCGTGCAGCCGACCCTCTTTGGGGGGGTAGGAGGCATATAATGTCCAACCTTTTGACTGACAGCTCCATCTGCTTAAACTTGGTGAACAAACTTTTGCTTTCACCAAGGAGATAACCGAGGCGGCACAGCAGAACAAGGTTAAAAATGTATTGGTGGGTGCCTATGATGGTACCTCTAACCCGGAGGACCACCTCATAGCCTACTCTAACCTAATTCACATGCAGAGGTTGGAGGATGCTATGTGGTGTCACTGTTTCTCGGCTACCTTGAAGGGCATAGCCCAACAATGGTTTGGCAACCTGCCAACCGGGTACATTGACAGCTTTAGAAAGCTTGCCTTCCTGTTTGCCTCCAACTTCTCAATGAACATCCCTACCAAGAAAACAAGTCTCAACTTGAGCACTATAAGGAAGGGAGAGAGAGAAGGACTTTGCTCCTACGTCAGGCGGATCAATTTGGTGAGAATCCAGATTAAGGGGCTATCTGACAAGGTAGTCTATACAGACTTCTTCAAGGGTCAGAAGGATGGTTCGACCTTTAAGTTTGACCTTGTCCAAAAGAGGGTTTTCACCCTTTAAGAGGAGATGAAAGAGGCAAAAAGCTTTATTCAAGCTACCGACCTCTGCTCCTCCAGCCATCAGTCAAACTCCAAGAAGTCTGACAACCAAAAAGAGAGTCGGTCTGCTTAGCCTGCTCAGAAAGCTAAAGAGAGAAAAAAGAGAAAGAAAGTTTGGACGGTTGATGAACCTGATCAGCCGTCCAAAAAGAAAAAGAAAGAATTCAAGTCGTACGTCTCATGGTACGAGTTCAATAAAGACTGTGACTCTATTTTCATGGAGGTAAAGGACCGGCTGACTATTGAGAAGACGAATCCAATGAAGAGTTTCGTTCAATCGTGGAATAAGAATAAATACTGTCATTTCCATGAGGAAGTCAGCCATGACACCAACGACTGCTATAGTCTCAAGCGGACGTTGGACCGTCTGGCTGATAAGGGCTTGCTGAAGTCCTATGCCTTGATGTCCAAAGCAACTGCCAAGACGAATCCAAGATAGTCATCTAAGACTTTCCAACCTACTAGTATCTCGGACACCAACAAGGATACGGTCTACACTATAGCAGGCAGATTCGCATGCGGTGGCCCAACCATCTAGGGCACCAAGGATTATCTGAAGAAGATGATCCATTCAGTTGATGATGGACATGCGACTACTAGTGGAACATTCCCAGACGTCGTCATCACTAAGAAGGATTGGGGAAAAGTCCGCTGACCGCATGATAACCCAGTCATCATTGAATGTAAGGTCGCCAACCAGATGGTTGGTCGGATCGATCCTTATAAACACGAGTAGCTCCCATGATATCATCAGCTACAAGTGTATGTCCAAGCTGAGCTATAAGCTGGACAACCTGCGCGACGTCTCCCATCCACTAATTAGCTTTGGGGGAGGGGTCGTACACCTAGTCGGACAAATTGATCTACCCATCTGGCTGGGGTAGAAGGGAAAAGCGCGACATATGATTGTCTAATTTTTGGTGGTTAAAGAGTTGACCGCCTATAACATCATTCTAGGCCGACCCACTCTGAACGAGTGTAAGACCGTCATCATCCCAGCTCTCATGCTACTCAAGTATGAAAAGGATGATGGCTCTATTGGATCCCTTAATAGGGATCAAAAGACGACAAGGGAGTGTTGTCTCTCAGACGTCAAACCAACGGCTGCTGCAGCCGGTTAACCGAAGGAGCCAATAGACCTTGATGGTATCAAGGACCCAGATTCACCCTATCCAGCTGCCGCAAAGAAAAGAAAAATTGATCAATTCGTGGAGGTGAAGAAGGAGATGAAATAACAATCACTGATCGGGGAGCAGTCAGATGATCTCCGTCCCCAGCCGGCTGGTGAATACATTAATATTCTTCTAGACGACAGTTGTCTAGAGCAAACTGTTAAGATGTGGCGGCTTGAAAGGTTAGGTGCAAAATTTCACCTCCTACTGAAAGAATTCAAAGACATCTTTGCCTTGAAGTGAAAGAGATTCCAAGCATCAGCCCGGATCTTGCTGTCCACAAACTCGCCGTGGATTAAAAAATGAAGCCCATCCGGCAAAAGAAAATAAATCATGGCGAGGAAAGAAGTCAAACGGCAGCTGCTAAGGTCAAAAAGCTGTTAGACGCGGGGTTCATTCGGCCATGTAACTTCCCTAATTGGGTTGCGAATGTGGTGCTTGTAAAGAAGCTGAATGGTACTTGGCGCATGTGTGTAGATTACACCGACTTGAACAAGGCATGTCCAAAGGACAATTACCCGCTTCCAAAGGTCGACAGCCTGATCGGCTCTACAGTCGGGCATGCCTTGATGAGTTTCATAGATGCCTACTCCAGCTTCCATCAGATACTCATGTGGAAAAAAGATCAAGAGAAGACGACCTTCGTCACTGATCAGGGGTTATTCTATTATACGGTGATGCCATTTGGCTTGAAGAATGCGCCGACTACTTTCCAACAGATGATTAATACAGTATTCATTAATCAGATTGGGAGGAATGTAGAGGCATACATTAATGACATGATAGTCAAATCCAAGCTACAGACGGATCACCTTGCTGATCCCTGAGAAACCTTCACCATACTCACGCGGCATAAGGTCATGTTAAATCCCAAAAAGTGCGTTTTTTTTGTTGAGTCTGGGAAGTTTCTCAGATTCCTGATTGATTAAAGGGGGATAGAGGCTAACCCTGAAATGATACAGGCGATAATTGACATGAAGTCACCCCGCACTGTCAAGGAGGCTAAGAGGCTTACCGGTTGCCTGGCTGAGCTTGGTAGATTCCTCAATCAGTTAGGAGAAAACATCCTTTACTTCTTCCAAGCAATCAAAGAGAAGACTAGATTTGAATGGGGAGATGATGCTTAGGTGGCCTTTCAGTTTTTTGAAGAACATTTACACTCTTTGCCAAGGCTTGTTAGCCCTCTGCCAAAGGAGACACTTTACATGTACTTAGCCATCTCAGAACATGCCCTTAGTGTTGTTCTCCTTGCTGAGAGAGACGATATTCAAGTCCCGATCTATTTCAGTAGCCATGTTATAAAAAAAGCTAAACTTTGGTACCCCATGGTTGAAACTTTTGGCCTTGCTCTCTACATGGATGTTAAGAAGTTGAAGCCTTACTTCTTGGCACATCCGATTGTGATCTACATAGATCAACCCTTTAAGCGGCCAATGACAACCTTGGAGTCATCCGGCGAAATGCTCAAATGGACTATTTGAATGCAAAGTCTGGAAATCACCTACGAACCAAGAAAGGAAGTGAAGGGTCAGGCGTTTTCCGACTTCATTGTCAAAATGACAAGGCCAGTTTCTCCTTACTACCATGATCAGGTTTGGAAAGTGTATGTAGACGGGAGCTCTATTATGAACGAATGTGGTGCAGGAATAATCTGTCAGTCTCCCGAAGGAGATAAATATGAATATGCACTATGTTTCAAGTTACAGGCCTCAAACAATGAGGCAGAATATGAAGCCCTGCTAGCCGGCATCCACGTGTGTAAGGCGGCAGGACAACAAAAATTGACGCCTGCTCAGATTCTCGGCTGGTCGTTAGCTAATACCATGGTGATTTATGAAGCCACCCATCCGGCAATGATCAGATACTTGGAAGCGGTCAAAGCTAAGGATGGGACACTTGAAGAATTTCACCTAACTCAAGTGCCCAGGTTTGAAAACAACCAGGCGGATGCTCTATCAAAGTTGGCATCCTCCGCCTCTTGTGATACGCCTTGGTCAGTCTTTTGAGAAGTTTTGGAAAGAGGAGTATATCTAACAAAGAGCCCATTGGATTACTTGACCGAAGCTCTACCTAGAAAGATGGCATCCGAGCATATTTGACAGACGGCATGCTCCTTGATTCACCCCAGGAGGCGGTCGTATTAATGAAATGTGCTGCAAACTTTGAGATGAAAGAAAAAGAGCTCTTCAAGGCTGGTTTTCTAAAGCCGTTGTTGAAGTGTATTACCCTAGAAAAGGGAAAGAAGTTCTCGAATATCTGCACTTGGGATATTGCGCCTCCCACATAGGCGACAGATCCCTGGCTGTCAGGACCAGAAGACAAGGTTACTTCTGGCCCACTCTTGAGGCAAACACCATGGAGATGGTCAGAAAATGTGACAAGTGCCAAAGATTTGGCAAGCTCATCCATCAGCCTACAACTGACCTGACAACAATCCATAGCCTAGTCTCGTTTGCTAAATGGGGGCATGGACATTCTAGGTCCTTATACGCCTGCACCTAGTGGAAAACGCTATATTCTGGTAGTTGTGGACTATTTCACCTAGTGGGTGGTAGCACAGGCGGTCAAGAGTATCAAGATAAAGGATGTCATCTATTTCATTTGGAAAAATATCATCACCCGGTATGGGGTACCTATGTCTATGGTGTTTGATAATGGCCCTTAGTATGAGACGCCTCAGCTCAAGACTTGGTTGGGAGATCAAGGGATCTCAAATTGTTTTGCATCAGTTGGCCGACCCCAAGCAAACGGTCAAGTTGAAGGCTTCAACAAACTCATCTCATACGACATAAAGAAGAAAATTGAAAGAGCCGGTTGTCTGTGGGTTGAAGAATTAATTCATGTCCTATGGGCTATCCAGACAACTAAAAAAGGGGCAATCGGTGAAACCCCATTTCTCATGGTTTACGGTGCTGAAGCCGTCTTTCCCATTGAGCATTATGAGCCGACTCTACGAGTCATGCTATACTATGAATAGGCAAATTGGGAGGTCATGCGGCTAGCATTGGACTCGCTCCTGGAGCGCAGGGGCAATGCCGCCTTGCGTCATGAGATTTATCATCTGAGAATGACGTGTGCCTACAATAAAAGAGTGCACAAACGACCCTTGAAAGTTGGGGACTTTGTGTTACAAAAAATGGAGGCAATCGGCACGGCCAATGAGCAGGGAAAGCTAACTCCTAATTGGCAAGGCCCCTATCGCATCCATGAAGAAGTAAGAAACGGCACCTACCGCCTGGAAACTCTAGACGGCAAGCGGCCGCCCAAAACTTGGAATGTAGACAACTTGAAAAAGTACAAATTCTGAGATTTATAATTTTTTTTGTAAATGAAAAGCCCATCAATGAAAAAGTTGCCTTTTGTTTTCAATTCTGTTATATACTGAAAAATTGCAAAATTTTAAGTTAAAAAATTGAAACAAATTGAGCAAACCGACTTATTCGACAAATTTCAATTAATTTAAAACTGGTCAAAGGTCGGGTGATATTGTTAATTGGAGATACATCCGGAAGAAAAAAGATATAAAAATTGTTACCCGATTCCTTAGTCGGTAAATGCAAACATACTCGGCTCATAGGCCGGAGAAAATTGGTTGGTATACTGCCGCAGAAATTACAAGGGTGGCTGAACTAGGGCTTCTAAGTCTGCTCCGGCTGGTCTTGGCCGGCTGAGAGGTTTGCTTCGATATGCCTAGCTAGGACCTGATAAGTCTGGATTTGATCAACATGATCCTTAACCGTCTCTTCCTCACCATCTAAAACCTCAAAGCCTTGTTCTAAGACCGATGCCT